CAACTAAGGAATATATATAGAGGAGGTGGAAATTAGGGTTAGGGTTTTTAGGAAACCCCTCAAATGGGCTTGGGCTTAGCATTGAAGGAGGAAGCCCAACAAATCTCCCCCTCCGACTTCAATGCGTCGGCTTCAGCATCAACCCGGCTCCTTCACAGCAGTCTTCAAATTTTCTTGCTGGAACCGGCTTTGTCATCATGTCGGACCAATTTTGGTCAGTGTGCACCTTGACGAGTTCGAGCTCACCACCTTCCACCACATCCCGGATCCAGTGATACCTCACATCAATATGTTTAGTGCGGGAGTGATAGGTTGAATTCTTTGCAAGATGGATTGCGCTTTGATTGTCACAACCCAGCTCGTACTTGTCTTGATCATGGCCGAGTTCCATGAGGAACTTCTTCATCCACAACATCTCTTTGCTTTCCTCAGTAGCGGCAATGTACTCAGCCTCAGTTGTAGATAATGCAACACATTTCTGAAGTCTTGATTGCCAAGAGACAGCTCCTCTGGCAAATCTCATCAAATATCTTGTAGTCGACTTCCTCGAGTCAGCGTCTCCCCCTAAATCAGAATCCGAGTAGCCTTGCAACTCGGCTTTGCCTTCTCCAAATCGGAGACATAAGTCGGTCGTACCTCGAAGGTACTTGAAGATCCACTTCACTGCTTCCCAGTGCTCTTTGCCGGGGTTTGACAAATATCGGCTTACCATTCCAACAGCATACGCCAAGTCAGGTCTAGTGCAAACCATTGCATACATCAAGCTTCCGACGGCGGATTGGTAAGGGACCTTCATCATCTCATCTTTGTCTTCATCAGATCTCGGACATTGCTTCTGGTTGAGCTTTATGTGTCCGACAAAGGGGTGCTCACTGTTTTGGCTTTGTCCATGCTGAATCTCTTCAGAATCTTCTCAATATATTTCTCTTGACTCAGCCATAGTAGCTTCTTTTGTCTATCTCGGATAATCTTGATTCTGAGAATCTGCATTGCAGGGCCGAGGTCCTTCATTGCGAAGGACGAGCTCAACGCCTTTTTCAGGGCGGCTATCCTCGATTTATATTTCCCTACAATAAGCATGTCGTCAACATATAACAACAAAATCAGAAAATCTCCAGCCTCATACCTCTTCACAAATACGCAGTGGTCGGCTTTTGTCTTCTCAAACTTATGATCAGTCATGAATGGTTCAAACTTCTTGTACCACTGTCGAGGTGCTTGCTTCAAGCCATAGAGACTCTTCTTCAACCGACATACCAAGTCTTCTTGGTCTGAAGCTTGGAATCGTTCAGGTTGCTCCATATATATTTCTTCTTCTAAATCACCGTGAAGAAATGTCGTCTTCACGTCCATTTGTTCTACCTCGAGGTCCATCGAAGTCGCCATGGCTAACACGGTTCGGACCGAGGTCATTTTCACCACAGGAGAAAAAATCTCCTCAAAATCAACTCCTTTTTTCTAATTGCAGCCTTTCACTACAATCCGGGCTTTGTATCTTGGCTTTTGCCCGTTCTCTTCATTCTTAATCTTGTAAACCCATTTATTCTTCAGAGCTCGTCTTCCTTCTGGCAACTCGGTCAGCTCATAAGTCTGATTCTCGTGCAGAGACTTCATCTCGTCTTGCATTGCATTTTCCCATTCTTCTTTCTCTGAGCTCGTCACAGCCTCATCATAACTCTGAGGCTCACCGTCTTCAGCAACAACGGTGTATTCATTAGATGGGTATCTTGTAGAGGGTCTTCTTTCTCGAGTTGGATATCTCGGTTGTTCTTCAGCTTGAGAACCCGGTTCATCATTCTCATCCCGGATCTCATCATCAACTCGGACCTCAGTGTCTTGGTCATCTTCAGCTTGTTGCTGATCATCATTTTCTTCATTTTCTTGATTTTTTTCCCCTGCTTCAACTTGGACATGAGGATTGGGTTCTTCGCGTCTGACAGTAACCCAGACTTTGGGCTTCGAGATGTCATGAATGTTCTCATGCTCATGAAAGATCGCATCTCGGCTTCTCACGATCTTCTTATTGATTGGATCCCAAAGTCGGAACCCGAACTCATATATCGGCGAACCAAGATAGATGCAGTCTTTTGTCTTCGCATCGAGTTTTGCCCTTTCATCTTTAGGGATATGCACGAAAGCTCGGCATCCAAACACTTTCAATTGATTATAGGCCGCTTTCCGACCTGTCCAGACTTCTTCTGGAATTTCTCCTTCAAGTGGCTGTGATGGTGAGAGGTTGATCAAGTCAACAACTGTTTTGACGGATTCTCCCCAGAATGATTTCGGTAACCCGGCATTGGATATCATGCTTCGTACCTTCTCTTTAATAGTTTTGTTCATCCTCTCAGCCAGTCCATTCAACTGTGGAGTCTTGGGGGGCGTCTTCTCAAGTCGAATCTCGGCCGCTCTGCAGTATGCATCAAATGGGCCGCAATACCCACCACCATTATCAGATCGGACCACCTTCAATTTCTTGCCAGTCTCCCTTTCAACCATCGCATGGAATTCTTTAAAGGATTGGAGTACTTGGTCTTTAGACTTCAACAAATATACCCACACTTTGCGGGAATGGTCATCAATAAATGAAACAAAGTACTGAGCTCCTCCAAGAGATTTCTCTGACATGGAGCAAACATCAGTATGGACGAGGTCAAGAATATTCCTTCGTCTTCTTGGTTGATCCGGTCTCACAAAAGAAACCCGGTGCTGCTTTCCAGCTAGGCAGTGCGTGCAACTCTCCAACGCTTGGCCTTTCAACCCGGTCAATAATCCTTTCTTGTTCAGGATCTGTAGCCCTTTCTCGCTCATGTGGCCGAGGTGCTTGTGCCATAGCTCCAAGCTAGGTTCATCTTAGACAGAATTGGCTTCTCTGCCATTGATCTTTCCTTGCATCACTTACAAGGAGCCTTCCTTCTTACCTCGGGCCACGACCAAGTTTCCCTTGGCCAGCTTCCATCTCACACTACCGAAGTAGTTCACTAACCCGGCATCGTCAAGCTTGCCTACCGAGATTAGGTTCAAACGCATGTCAGGAACATGCCTCACATCTTTCAACACAAGTCGGCATCCGACATCCGTGGTCAGAGTTACATCACCGACGCCAACAATCTTGCTGGTCACTTGATTTCCCATCTTCACGACTCCAAAATCACCACCTCGATAAGAGGAGAAAAAACCTTTGTGTGGAGTAACGTGGAAGGAGGCACCAGAGTCAACAATCCAGGTGCAGTCATCATATGCAACATTCAAATAATTATCCTCACCAAGGAGGAATATCTCGGCATCCGGGTTGGCAGCCACCGCAGTGGTGCTCTTGTCTTCCCTCTTCTTGGGAATAATCTGATCCGGCTTCACAGAGCCGTTCTTCTCGTCATTTTGTAGGGTCTAGCAGTCTGGCTTCTTATGGCCTGTCTTTCCACAGTAAAAGCACTTCAACTCATATTTCGGCTTTGACTGACCTCTGGACTTATCTCGTCTATCACGACCTCTACCGCGGCTCTTACTTCTACCATGGGAGTCAGATTTCCCTTTGTTCTCAGCAACGTTGGCCTCAGACGTACTCGAAGTACCTCGTTCTCTTCTCCTGGATTCTTCGTCTAGGAGGCTGTCTGTCACGACATCCATCTTCAATTTTCCATCTGGAGTCGAGTTATTCAGGGTCACCACCAGAGTATCCCAGCTTTCTGGCAGCGAGCTCAACAACAGCAATGCCTGCAATTCTTCATCAATTTTCATATCAGCCTTTGACAGCTGATTCACAATACCTTTGTAGGTGTTCAGGTGTTCAATCATGCTCATGTCGTCCTTGTATTCAAGCTTAACAAGTCGGCGAACCAGGTGTGCTTTGTTCCTGGGAGTCTTCTTCTGAATCATGGATTCCAGCTTCGTCCACAACTCATACGCGTTCGTGAATTCGGACACATGCTCAAAGAGACTTTTATCAATATATTTCCTGATCGTGGCTACCGCCTTCCGACTCAGGATCTCCCACTCCTTATCAGTTTTGCCTGTCGGTCTCTCATCAAGGATAATGGGCTCATGTAGATCTTTGCAGTAGAGATGATCTTCCATCATCGGTCTCCAATAGGTTGCAGTCAACTTGAACATATCTCCATCATGAGTTGTGCCACTGGTCTCCATCTTGTCTCCCTCAGAACCCGTCGAACTCGGGCTCTGATACCACTGTTGGGAAAACTCGGTTCCCTCAAGCTCGGCTAAGCAGCCTTTGTGCGGAAGTCAATCAACAAGATCCTGATCTCGGATCTCGGCAATACCTCAGCCTGAACTTCACCAGGTCAGGAAGCGCAGCGGAAAAATCAAAACAAAAACAGGAGAGAGAGAAGAAGAACACAACCAGATTTAACATGGGAAAACCTTCTCCAATGAATAAGTAAAAACCCACGGGACCTAGTCCAGATCAGAAATCCACTATGAAAATAATGGTTACAAATAATCAAATACACCAATGTGGTGGTTAACTCAACCTCTCCAACAATGGTGATAATCAAACTACCCTAGAGATGTTTCACTCAAACTCTCTCATCTTTCAAATGCAAAGCATAAAGTCTTGCTCAAACAATCAAATAATTCTCTCGAATTTGTTCTCTAAAATCTAACCTAGCCTCCACCCTCAACTAATGAATATATATAGAAGAGGTCTGACTCATAGTGATCGTTTATCAAAGAATAACTCTGGTTATCAAATGATTGAACAACCGGGAGCAATTTACTTACGATACTTAGTTGACATTCATAAAAAGTATCTAATGAATTATGAGCTGAATACATTCTCAGGAGAAATTTTTATTTGTCCGGGAATCTCGATTTTCAAAAATATGATTTTTGCATTCAGTTTACGATAATATCTGAAAATTTAAAATTTTAAAAAAATCAGTTTCCCAGGAATCCCTCAAAATTCCACGTACCAAACGCCCCCTTAGGATTTTTAGGAAACCCCTCAAATGGGCTTGGGCTTAGCATTGAAGGAGGAAGTCCGAACAAACCGATAAAATCTATCATAGATAGCATGTGCTGTTGTTGATTGACAATCGAAATCACGGCATGGCAAAAGTGGCCGAACCGAGTTCTTTGCCTCCTCGAATCGGCGTGGTTAAGAGAAAGACGCCATCAGAACTTAGGGTGAGTTTCCAAGCGCTTTACCTCAATTCATTCCTTCTCATTTGAACTTCGATTCACTATCAATGTTTCTGCAGGATTAGGACCTCTAGATATCTATTATAGCATTTTTAGTTTTTGCGTTTTTCTAATTTATGGCTTACTTGCTTTATATAATTACATGCTTAGTGCTTAGCTAGGTCTATGCATTCACAAGCATATATTCGAGTAAGAGGAAGATGCATAGCTTGGCAGGGTGCGTTAAAACACATTTTTATATTTTGAAGCATCTTAATGAATTCCTGTTCCCCGTGAATTACTTTTGCGATTTCCATTGTTCGTTACTTGTTATGTTGTATTACTACATGTATTAATTTATCACGTTGGGGTAAGTTTGTTGTGCAATTCTCTCCATCCACATATAGTCGAGGCTTACAGTGCAGTTTCAATTTAAGTTTCCAAGAATATTTTCTTCCAATATTGACAAATGGTGCTCAGTTGTGGTGGCCACAAAAAAATTCTCATATCTATGCATGCTTGGCAGGGAGAACAGTTGAAACGGGCAAGTGTTATGCACTTTACTGATGAATCTCCATCCCCATTGCGTGATTCTACTTCTACAGAGTTTGTTTCCTCTACTTCTCTTCCAATATTTTGTAATTTTCTGAGATCTTTATTGATGTATGTTTGTATTTTACAGCAACAGTGAGATGGATAATGTGCCTAAAAGACCAGGATTGTCAAAGAACCCAAGATACATCAACACACGCCTTCGTGAAGTATTTCCTGCCAAAAAGTCCAGATTTAGAATTTTATCTGGAAAAGAAAATGCAAAGGTTATTATATTTGCCAAACTCATGGATAATATTTAGTTTGGTTGGTTGACTTCTTCATTAGATTATAGATCTCATCGTTTTAACATTGCTGAGATTGAACCAATTAAACTTGTAAATATGTTCAGGAAATTCCATCTATGGAGAAAACTAGTAACTCAGAGAATCTTATGGTTTTTTCAAATTTGGCTGCCCAGAGACAGCGGGGAATTTCGTGGTTTGCTTCATAATCTACGCACTCTCTTGATCTCATAGTTTTTTTTTTGCTATTTTGATTCTATTCATAGTTGTTGGCAGCTTGGACTTGGAGGGTTGTGCTGCTTCAAATGAAGTTAGCAAAGATGATGTATTGCAAGCTTGTCAAACAATTGCAAAGTGCAGCCAAGGAAACTTTCTTAGTGTTGCTGAGCTTTCATCAGCTGCTCATAAATCTTCTGGCTTGTCAGCTATTGATATGGTATACAGTAACAGACCCTTTTCCCCCTTTTAATTATATTTCAGAGTCTTTATTATAAGTAGATTATTGTTATAGGGTAAAGCATTAAGAGGAATGGCTGCACTTGAACCAAGAATCGATAATGGTTTAGCTGCTGATTCATCAGAAAGATGTGGAAATTTGCCACCAACCTTTGGAGGCAATTTCGTCTCTGAATGCCATCTACCTGGCCAGAAAGCTCCTCTGGATCTTACTTTAAAAACCAGTATGCGGATAATATCTTCCTCTTCTGTGAATTGGTGAGTTCATAGAATGGACTAATGTTTTGGCATTAAGAGTGATTGGATGTGCTGGAGTGATTTAATATGTTTTTACACCAACATTCATAGTTTTTAACATTTTATCGTAAGTGTTAAATAATTTCAGGTTCCTTTTGTGCCTTTATAATTATCAATTACATTTATGGTTGATACTCATATAGACTCTGATGAATTCCTTATAAATGTTGTCATGCAATTGCCAAGCAAATAGGATTTCTATCAGTGTTAGATAGAAGCATATGATGGTTAGGTTGGGCTCATTCCATTGTTTATTTCACGCTCACATTTTTTTTTGGTTGATACAAAATTAATTTGTTGGGCTATTTACAGTCCATTTCCATGATAATCCAGAAATTGAAAAGAAAGGTGGGCATTTAATAAGATAAAATAGTGATGGTCGAACTAATGCATTTATCATGCAAGTGACAATTGCATGGTAAAACAAGTGTCGTTTCACAGATTTTTTTTCACAATTTTTTTTTTTTAATTTTTAGTATTTGAATGAGCAAGGTAATACATTGCTTACATAATTCTTATTTTTCTATCTAAGATTCTTTGTAGAACCGTGTTATGTTAAAATTTCATGTTTCTTATTATAAACATTCTGTTTTTTCTATATTCCCCAGTGTTTGCATAAGCTAATATTATGTCTCAGTCACCTAGAGGTTTGAGTTTATTGTAAATAGAGCATGTAAGAACTAAAAACTTGTATTATGATGTGTGTAGTTTGTTTATAAGTCATTAATTACTCCTAGCATCCACCCTTGACCCTTCCATACAAATTTATATTCTGAAGTTTGTTCTTTTCTGTAATATTTGAGTAAGGGTAAAGAGCTATTTCTCATTTATAGCATATTCCTAGGAAAATCTTGGTGAAAGTGACTAGCAGGTTTAGGGTATCTTATTTCTTTGTCTTATTATCAAAGAGTGGTGGTCGTAGCTGAGCTCCTATGTTGATACATCACCTATTAATGTGATTTGCATGGATTGTCTATTGCCCACTTACTATGGTGACAAATATCCTAGTTGTGTCCATTGTTGCATTTTTGCATAAGCTATATTAATTTGCAAGTTTCAGTATGCACAGGTCACTTATGCGTGGTACCATGCCACAATTCTCCTTCCAGCAATGTCCTCGTAAGGGTCAAAATATGAGAGGTACATGGGGGTTTAAAGATTTGCACTCATGGGTGTATCCTCAATCCATCCTACCACCTTCTTTGACATCAGTGTTGAGCTCATCAACAGAAGATAGAGGTTTGTCAAGTGGTTTTCAGCTTACCCTGTTCCCATTCTGTTTAACCTCTTCCTTTCTCCATTTTCCTTAAGTTCCGCTCTTCCCTTTTATCCAATAGAATTGGAGTTCTTAAGGAAACGACAAGTGATTTGGGAAGAATCCTTCCGGGGCCTCTATCACATGCTTCGAAGTTGCACTTGTGGCATCTTTTATGGTAATTATATGTAATTGTTCCATTTTCTTTTCCGTCAGATGGATTTAAATGATTACAGAGACTTGTTATATATGTTTTTATGTTGCTTTTTCTGTTCTTGTGGATTGTCATTAGTTTCAGTGCCTTTTGATATGTGATGTAAATATTTTCTGCATAATGATCAACTATCAGAATCAAAATGAACTTGTTTCGTTTATTGAAGTAGCTTCCTGTGGTATTAGACTATTAGTAATGCATACACTTGTTTCTTCATTATTATTATTATTATTATTTGGTGAAAGTTTGTATTGATTTATTTCCTCATGATTCATAGTTTGCACATCTCAGTTTGTGGTGATGTTTACCGGTGGTGATGGCTCTGGGAGTTCCAAATGCTTGTGCAATGCTTATATCTCTCGGTCAACCAGAGGTTTGAGGTTATTGTTGAAAGAGAATGTAAGAAGTAATCATATTGCGTATTATGATGTGTACAGTTTATTTATAAGTAACTAATCACTCCAAACATTCACTATGTTTCATATATATATATATATATGTATATGTATATATGAATGTATGTATTTATTTACATTCTCCTTTTGCAAGTTTGCTAAGAATAAGAGTAATTTTTTTTATAGCATTTATTGGAGAATCTTGGTGAAAGTGACAAGTATGTTTATGGTATTTTATTTCTTTCATCCTCAAAGAGAGAAATCTTATCCTAAGTGCCAACGATTCAATTTGAGTATGCATTTTTTGAATATTTCATTGAAAGTTGCGCAAGTAGGGATATACTTTTCTGGTCTTAGTTTTTTGACTTTGACTATTAAAGGATTTACCTTTGGAAACTGCATTCAAGTGTTTTTCTGAATTGCCTAGTATTGTGTTTCTATAGTATTGGGCTTTAATTAGAGCCCTTTGGGGTCAATAGGGTGTAAGGTTCCAAGGCTTTGGTCAATCAGTCGAAGATGTAATTGATGTGGAATGTAAAACCTACTTGCACTCCTATTTTCTTGTTTTTTGGATTCTATTTTTTCGGTAAATTTCTGGATTCCATTTAAAAATAAAAAAGAATCTTTATACTGCACTTTATAAAACATACTTTATAAAACATAAGTCAACATCAACATCAACATCAACAACACCTTTATCCCAAATTAATTGGGGTCGGTGGTAGATGAACCCACATGAAAGATACAAAACGGTTGACAAAAAGTAAAAAAAATAAAAAATAAAAAATAAATAAATAAATAAATTAATAAATAAATAAAAATACACAAATAAAATAATAAAATAAAATAAAATGAAATAAAAATATATGTATATATAAATAAAGAAAAGTAAAAAAGAAAGGGACAAGAAGAAGTGGGGGAAATAAAGGGGAAAAGGACTAAAAAAAGGACCATCTGGAACATAGGAATAACAGCGGGTCTAACCCTCCACCATACTTATAGCTTTTCTCCATTCCTTTCTAAGACATACTGTCCGCCAATCTATATCCCACTCCATTAAATCTTGTTTTACTACTTTCCCCCAAGTAAGCTTCGGCCTACCTCTGCCTCTTTTTGAGTTTAGCTCTTAGTAACAAACTTCTGTTCTTACAGGAGCATCCATGGGTCTTCTCATCACGTGCCCAAACCACCTCAATCTATGTTCTCTCATCTTCTCGGCTACCGGTACTACTCCGACCTTTCATCGAATATCTTCATTTCTTATCTTATCCATCCTTGTGTACCCACACATCCACCTTTATAAAACATAACTCTTGAAGCGAAAATGAGTTAGGAACTAAAGCTCGATATTTTGTTGCAATTGTATTTTATGTAGTACTGTCAATTTTTAAGAGCGAGCCTTGGAGTAGTAGTAAGGTTGCTCCTATGTGACCGGAAAGTCATGGTTTCGAGTCTGGGAAACAGTCTCTTTGCAAAAATACAAAGATAAGGCTGCATGCAATCGATCCTTACCCCTACCCTCGCAAAGTCAGGGAGCCTTGTACAACAGGGTTTGCTCTTTTTGGCATACTTAATGTTAGATTCCATAGGTGTCTCGACTGGCTTGCATCCTATCATGCTTGTCTCTTGTAGCATATCCAGGATGTACTTCTTTTGAGATATAGTGATCCCAATCTTACTCCGAGCAACTTCCATGCCAAGAAAATACCTAAGAGCTTCAGGGTCCTTTAGGTCTGTAACACCCCGTTCTAGAAACGGCTTGTTAACATTGCTTTATGATATTAAGCGCAGTTACAATCACATTGGTTCAATTAGAAATCCGGATAAATTTTCATTTTTGAACAAAGCCGAATTTAAAATAACCAATTGCGTGACCATAACTATATGACTTTGCGGAATAAATGAAACTAAGCTTAACATCACATTCTTAATTTATTTGACCACACTTTGTTAAATGTATTTATCTCTTTTATTATTAAATGAATTCTTTACTTCCTCTATAGTTCTTATCTGCTACTTTATCGTAGATCTCTTCGATAGCTACGCGTGGGTTCAAACCGCGCTTAAATCGAAGCACCGTAGCTCGAGTTATGTCAGTTTTACTAAATTACGTTTTTGCTGATTTTTCGGGTAGCGCGTTTTAGTTCCCAACTGGGCGTTAAAACGTCCAGAGGCAGTGAATTTGGCCTTCTCCAGGTCTTCAGCGCATTTTAGCGCTCAACTTTCGCGTTTTAGCGCCCACTTGCGCGTTAAAACACCCAAGGGCAGTGAATTTTTCTCCATTTCACGAACACAGCGCGTTTTAGCGCCCTTATCAGCGCTAAAACGCTCTCCAACTGGGTATCACATGCCCTTCCCCTGTTTTCTGCTATTTTTCTTTAGGGAAATTACTTCTATTCTTCATAAAACCTGATTGACAATCTTACGTCATATAATGCTTCAATAGTTGTATCATTTTCATAATTCATTATACAATCCCAACGGATAAAATATGATTCAACATTCCATCATCTACCTTCAACAATCCTTTTACAATCTAAAGGATAAAAACATGATTCATATTACATCCATATTCAAATATACCATTACATCATTGTTCTTTAAAATGATTACATACCAAAGCCTTAGAAATCACAAGTGATCAAAGTCCCAAAATAGGTGCACAATGGCTAAACAACATCAATGATCAACTTCTAAGTCCCATATGCATTCATATACAACTAATGCATCAAAATATCCTAGACATAAGGTTTTCTACATGCCAGGAATCTCAAAATGTCATATATATAATCTACTCATGCTTACCTCGATCAACCTCACCTCTATCAGTACCTGAAATGATGCCCCATAACACGGGGTGAGATATACAAATATATCACAGTAAACCTGGGGTCCTTGGAGATTACTCCACCCTAAGGTTCACTTCCGATGTACATATAATCATAACAGCTTAACACATTCTTATCCATAAACATCATATGGACTTCCAAGAGAGATCCACGAAGAGCTGTTTCTTTTAGGCTCTTACCACATGGAAATCCACATAGGGCTGTTTCCAATGGAAGTCCCTATCCTCAATCTAAAAACCTCCAAGAGAGGTCCACATAGGACTGTTTCTCTTAGGCTCTGACCACATGGAGATCCATTAAGGCTGTTTCCAAGGGAAGTTCCTACCAATCATCTTCATCATAATTCTATCAATCATTCCTCAATCAATATTTTTACATCTATCAACCATTCCTCAATTACTCTTAAACAATCAAACATCAATCAATAATTATCAATCAATCATAACATTTATCTATGCATGAATCAATGCATGAGCATACAATTACTATCATCACTATATATCACACCTCATAAACCATTTCTCCTCAACGGAGTATGGTGGAACATTCAAGGGGATCAACCCCAAGGTCCGAAGGTTTACCTTATACTTAAACTTCCGTTCGACGCTTACCTTTCCTCAAAACCCCACAATCTCCGATCAACACCACGACAACCTATAGTCAAGGCAAGAGATGTGTTCATCAACTCAATCCACACATAAATACTAATTCCAGGACTAGACAAACATCTCAACTATTCTACATTACTCATAATTTCAACATTAACCCAACTTACCCTTGAAACCCATAACTAGGTTTTTGCTCCAATGGCTCCACCAGTGGCTTTTCCTTTACCCAAGGGTCACCTTGCTCATAACTACACATAAAACAACATACCAACACATCAAAATCCATCCCACCATAGATGAATTTCGTGGTCACTATTCACCCAAAACCTAGATTCATGAAAATTTAAGGAAAAGTGTGAAAAAGGGTGAAAACTTACCATAGATGACCTTAGAGTGCAAGAGGAAGAAAAGTCTAAGCTCCAATGCACTCAAAACCCCTTAAAACTCCAAACTTTCTCAAATTTTCGAAATGGAGAGGGGGATATATCTCTCAATACAATGACCCCCAACTAGAACTAAGCTATGGGTTTTGTAAAGGATGAAATTTGACACACTTTGGGCTTTGGAACGGATCGATTTGGTGGAGGAATGAAGGAATTGTGTTTGGAGCACTCACAACAATGGCTTCTCTCCCTTTCTCTCAAGCGCTGCATCCACGGGAAGAAGGAAAATGGGAAGGATGCTTTGGTTTTTTACACTTAACTTAGGTTGAGTAATTTCAACCGAGTAAAATTTTATCTATCTATTCACCTCTATTTACCACCAAACTTTACACAATGAACTAGAATATTTTTTCAGTCATATTTTTAACTTTACTTTTATATTTTGGGTACTTTTATCTACCCATATTTTTACCCTTTAATTCTCACTGACAGCACTTTTTACCTCAAAAGTGCCCTTAACTCATTAATTTTAACCTCTTGCTTAATTCCACCCACTTATACATGCTTCATTACTTAATTACAGGTAATTAATTAAATTCTTAAGTTAGGGATATTATAAGGTCAAATTGATTTGCTAGATATTTCTTGAAGGAATCTAACTCCTCATTGTCATCACATGTCATCCACATAAACCATAAGAACAACAATCTTACCATCCTTAGAATGATTGTGGAAGAGTGTGTGCTTGGTTTGGGCCTCTAGGAAGTTCTTCCTTTTGACTACGTGAGTGGTTTTATCAAGCCATTCTATAGGAGACTGTTTGAGGCTTTGAGCCTATAGAAAGACGGCCTCCTTTTCTTCCAATGAAATCCCTTTTTTTTTTTTAATAGTAGTTATGCTGGAAATTTTTAATAGTAGTAAAACAATATTTAATAGAGTGAGATATAGATTGGCGGACGGTATGCCTTAGAACGGAATGGAGAAAAACTATAAGCATGGTGGAGGGTTAGACCTGTTGTTATTCCTATGTTCCAGATGGTTCCTTTTTAGTCCTTTTTTCCTTCATTTCCCCCTCTTCTTCTTTTCCCTTTCTTTTTTTATTTTTATATATATATATATATATATATTATTGCTATTCTATTTATTTATTTTTATTTTTATTTTTATGTTTCTTTTTGTATCTTTCATTGGGTTCATTTACCACCGACCCCAATTAATTTGGGATAAAGGTGTTGTTGATGTTGAGTTATGCTGGAATTTTATCCTTTATATATATATAGGGCATGTTATATTTACAAACTTTTTTGTTTACAAACTCTTACAAATTTGTAAACGGATCGTTCCCACACACACACATATATATATATATATATATATATATATATATATATATATATGGTGTTGATGTCTGAACTCATTTTTGGTTGAACACACATTTGACTAGGATGTTTACTTCTCTATGCCTCTTTGCCATTCTAAAGTGGAGCAAGTCACTACTGATGATCTGGTTGAGCTCTCAGAGATAGAGAAGCAAAATCTGGGGCAGGTTTGTATTAGTTCCTGACAGTATGTGTTTATCTCTGTGAATTTACTGATAAGTCATACTGGACTGGAACCACGATTTTCTGGTAGCTTTCACTAAGTATTAACTAAGCTATATGATGTATGACAGGTACAATGATAAAAGTATTTAAATTTTTCCTATCAATTATTATCTTACATGTTCCCACATTAGTCTAGGATAACTATGTTAAAATTGATTATCCTTTGTGGTCATATGCCTTGTCCCATGAAAATAGATGTCTATCTGTTGATTTAACACCATATGGTTTTATGCAGACTCCACGACTAAGATCTTTCTCTGATGTTGATAATACTCCACAATCTTTGCTCGTTTTCAGTGGCAACAGGAATGTACATGGTTTATATGACATTTTGCTAAATTACAGGTAGTCAGTTTATATGGCAAATTTATTAACGGTTAATCTTCTTGGTAGCTTCTTATCAAGTTTTTACATGCTTCATTGGGTTCGGCTTATTTAATATTTGCTCTTTTATTTTCTATGTTGTTTCTGACTATTCTGTTGTCTGCAGATCTTTCATTTCCTCACTGTCTGGTATGGACGTACCTGTATTGTGCTCTCCTGTGCCATTTCAGAATGCTGCTTTGTCTTCTCCTGATGTATGTGATTAGTCCTCAACCTTAGTATACTATCTTAGCTGATGTTTAATTAAATTATTGAACTGTTATGCCAATACTTTACCTAGATTGCTTGGGCAATAAGTGACATCTTTGAAGCCTTTGATGACATGGCAAATATTACTTGTGCACTAGACTTGTTTAGATGTGTTGTTATCTTCCAGAAAATATACTAGAGGAACCTGTAACATGGAAACTGGAATTTCTTTCCTTTTCCCACTTATTTAAAATTACATTAGTTATTTTTCATTTACTAGCTGTTAAATTAACACATGATCGAAAGCTAAATGCTTCTCTGTTTCAGATTAAATTCATGGAGATGAGAAAAGCTGAACATATTGCTGCCTCTTATAATGGATCGATTTGTAAAACTGGTGAATCTGCACAAGGTTCATCAGATAGCCTTTGTTGTAGCATTGAAATTAAGGATGCATTTCTTCCACCATGGATTATTTGTGGTGTGTGTACCTTGCTGGGCTCTGAAGGAAGAAACTTTGAGGCAAGGTATGGGTGGCTTTTGCTTGGTGATACCTATTACCTTGTTGAATTAATTTTTTAGACACGACAAAATTCACGTGGTCAATACCATTTAGTTATCATTAGTTATTCATATATAACTGCCCAGAGAAATTGGGCTTATGGTTAAGACTAACTGTCGATAGCCTTGTTACAGCATAGACCATTTATTAGGTTATTGAGGGGAAAACATGGGTATATATGTAGATCCGAGTAACCTATTTTTTTTGTTTTTTAAAGCTGGTTTTGCAGATAAGTCAACCACGAGCCAGTCTTCTGATTTCGGATTGTCTGGGCATGTGGTGAGCTGATAGTGTGCATTATGGCTTGTGGGCTAAATAAACCAGTTTTTTAAGTAGTTATATGATGGAACCTACTTTTATTAATCTGAAATTGCAAAAAACATAAATGGAGACCATCTCCTTACAAAGATAAAATGCAGAAAAATACACCTTAAGATCTCAACTCCCCCTCAAAGCCAACATACCTAGGCTCCAAAAGTTTCCTAGAGATCCCCTAATTTTTCCACTAAGCCAATACTGAATTCATGCCTACCTCACTACACACACTCACTCTCCTTTTATCCTATACTTTATGAATATTCTAGAATAATTTCCATAACAAACTAACTAATTCACTAACTTTCAAGCCCATAGCCCATCAATACTCCCCCTCCAAAACTCATCTTGTCCTGTGAAGGAAGATGACAGATAATGTGAGAAAACATCCACCAGGGTCCCACCACTTGAAACATATTGACCAAGTAATTCTTGAAACCAAAAAATTGTCACTTGCTTCCATTCCTGCAGTGCTAAAATACTGGGATTGCTTACTCCTTGAAAATTGCATCTCTGTCTCGAGCATACTGTCATTTGTGACAATTGAATCTGAAATATATTGTATATTCAAGTATATGAGTCTGTACAAGGAGGCTCTCTATTTATAGAGACTAAAAGACCTAATGGGATGACCTAATGGGCCAAGCCCACAATCTAGACTATTCTAGACTATTCTAATAATAAATTAATATTATTTCTAACACTCCCCCTCAAGCTGGTGCGTATATATCAAAAGCTCCCAGCTTGTTACAAATATGATCTATTCGGGGACTCTAAGAGCTTTAGTGAATACATCCGCAAGTTGATCATTGGAATTGACAAATGCTGTCTCGATCTCCCTTGACTGGATCTTTTCTCTAACAAAATGACAGTCAATTTCTATATGCTTGGTCCTCTCATGAAAGACTGGGTTAGAGGATATATGCAAAGCGGCTTGGTTGTCACAAATGAGCTTCATAGGCCTTTGTTCACAGAGATGGAGTTCCTTCAGCAATTGACTCAGCCAGATGAGCTCACAGGTTGCATTTGCCATTGCCCGATATTCTGCCTCCGCACTGGATCTGGCGACCACAGTTTGCTTCTTACTCTTCCAAGAGATCAAATTTCCTCCGAAGAGAACACAATACCCTGAGGTGGATCGTCTATCTGAAGGAGAACCTGCCCAGTCAGCATCTGAATAACTAGAGATCTCTGAACTCCCTTTATTTGTATATAATAAACCTCTTCCTGGCGCCTTTTTAATATATCGGAGAATTCTAATAACTGCATCCCAATGGGAGTCACAAGGAGAATCAAGAAATTGACTTGCAACACTCACTGCGAAGGAGATATCTGGCCTTGTCACAGTAAGATAATTCAATTTTCCAACTAGTCGGCGGTAGCGACTAGGATCTGGCAGTGGCTCCCCCTGTCCTGGTAATAACTTAACATTGGGGTCCATAGGTGTATCAATGGGTTTACAACCTAACATGCCAGTCTCATCTAGGATATCCAGTGCATACTTCCTCTGACAGATGGAAATGCCCCGCCTAGACTGTGCAACTTCGATCCCCAAGAAATATCGAAGTCTGCCAAGATCTTTGGTTTGAAATTGATTGAATAAATGCTTTTTCAACTGATCAATCCTGGTCTGATCACTGCCTGTAATGATAATGTCATCAACATAGACTAGGAGATAAATGCACTGGCCAGAAAAGTTATGCCGGTAAAAGACAGAATGATCGGCTTTGCTTCTGATTAATCCAAAGGATTCAACAACTGAACTAAAGCGGCTAAACCAGGCCCAAGGAGATTGCTTCAGGCCATATAAAGATTTCCGAAGTTTACATATCATTCCAGAACTCTCCCCCTGAGCAACAAAACCTAGTGGTTGCTCCATATAAACTTCCTCCTGCAAGTCACCATGTAGAAAAGCATTCTTAATATCAAGTTGGAGAAGGGGCCAGTGATGAATGGCGGCAAGGGCAAGAAACAGGCGAACAAAAGCCATCTTAGCAACAGGAGAAAAGGTATCCCCATAATCAAGACCAAAGATCTGTGTGTATCCCTTGGCCACTAGCGAGCTTTAAGGCGATCAACAGTGCCATCAGGACCAACTTTAACTGTGAACACCCATCGACAACCAACAACAAACTTCCCGAGAGGAGCACGAACAAGATCCCAAGTGCCATTGGAGTAAAGTGCCTGCATTTCATCAAGCATCGCCTGGCGCCACCCTGGATGAGATAGTGCTTCACCTGTGGTTTTAGGGATGGAAACAGAAGAGATACTAGAAACAAAAGTAAAATGTTGTGAAGAAAGTCTGTCATAACTCAAGAAAGAATAAAGGGGATGAGGATTTCGAGTGGATCGAATACCTTTCCGAAGGGCAATGGGAGGAGTCTCTGATGGAGGATCCGGAGGAGAAGAGCCGACGGGAAGGGGCGATGAGTCATCAAGAGGCAAAGTCGGAGGAGGTGCAGGCTGACGACGCTGGTATGTGAGGAGCGGACGATCTGCAGGTATGGAGGTAATTGGTTGCTCCTCTGGAATAGGGTCACCTGCAGCTGGTAAAGACAAATCAAGAAAAGGAACAGGAAGGACCTGATCAACTTGGGACACTGGAGACGGAGTAGAGTGAAAAGGCTGCTGATCAAGGAAAGTGACATCAGCAAAAACGATATAACGCTTGAGATCAGGAGAATAGCAACGATACCCTTTTTGAAAACGTGTATACCCAAGGAAAATACATTTGAAGGCCTTGGATGTCAACTTGTCTTTACCTGGAGTAAGATTATGAACAAAACAAGTACAACCAAAAATATGTAAAGGCAGAGGATAAGAAGGTGCTCCGGAAAACAAAATACTGTGGGGAACATCATTATTTAGCACAGAAGAGGGCATGCGGTTGATAAGGAAACATGAGGTGATAATAGCATCTGCCCAAAAACGGAGTGGGACGTTCATATGAATGAGAAGGGTACGTGCAGTTTCAACTAGATGTCTATTTTTACGTTCAGCGACTCCATTTTGTTGTGGAGTGTGGGGACAGGTAGTCTGGTGTATCGTCCCTTGTGTATCCAGAAATTTAGAAAATTCAAGAGACAAATACTCTTTTGCATTATCACTGCGCAAGATTTGAATAGAAGCACCAAATTGAGTTTTTATTTCTGCACAAAACTTTTGATAAATTGAAAATAACTCAGAACGATTTTTCATTAAATAAACCCAAGTGCAACGGGAGAAATCATCAATAAAGGTGACAAAATACTGAAAACCCAAAACAGACGTTGTTCGACTCGGACCCCAAATATCAGAATGAACAATAGAAAAAGGAGCATCAGCTCTTTTATTGACTCTATTAGCAAAGGAGGAGCGAGTGTGTTTTCCTTGCTGACAAGAATGACAGTTTAAAGACTTAAGATTGGATAAAAAGGGAACCATATGCTGAAGCTTGGAGAGGTTTGGATGACCCAGACGGCTGTGAATTAGCTCAGGAGACTCTGTGAGAGAACAGGCTACTGGAGAAGGTGGTGCAATCAGATAGTAGAGACCTCGTGACTCAACGCCTGCTCCAATCGTCTTCCC